GATGTTAATCACTGTCTAGTCTCTACACTTGTAATGTGTAGAGAGAATGAATAATTATTATACTTTTGACGAAAAGAATGGGTACCCGGTAGAACTATTAACCTTCTAGTGCAAAACCAACAGCTTGTTCGCACACATGGAATTGAGAAGACCAACAGTTATTTCCATGTAGCCTGGTCTATTTACAGGCACATCTCTGACAGCCCTCTGTGATTTATGTTCTGTGTACACGGAAGAACAGTCTCGTGACTTCTCGCTGTCATAATTATGTGTCCAAAGTCGCTATGACAGTTTGAGGAGACAAATCCGGTGCAGGCTAGGCGTGAAACCCTGTCACGAGAACGGTTAGCTCATGTTGCATTGAGTGAGTGAGTGAGTTTAGTTTTACTCGGCATTCATCAATATTCCAGATATGTACATGTATTTTTTAAGCTTTTATTTCCAAGGGATACATGTTACATATAAAGGCAATTTGTATAGAAAACATACATGAGAGTACATCGTGATATGATTATTTCATGTGGGACCAAAATAGGTTTAGGTAAACTTTGCATATTGCAAATTATTGTGTGGAGAGATGACCAAAATGTGAAAAAAATGAGCTGGGTCAGCGTGTGTTAAGGCTAGGAGAGTGTGGGTAGCTTGGTCAGCGTGTGTTAAGGCTAGGAGAGTGTGGGTAGCTTGGTCAGCGTGTGTTAAGGCTAGGAGAGCGTGGGGAGATGGTCAGCGTGTGTTAAGGCTAGGAGAGTGTGGGTAGATGGTCAGCGTGTTAAGATGGTCAGCGTGTGACAAGGCTAGGAGAGTGTGGGTAGCAGCGTGTGTTAAGGCTAGGAGAGTGGGTAGCTTGGTCAGCGTGTGTTAAGGCTAGGAGAGTGTGGGGAGATGGTCAGCGTGTGTTAAGGCTAGGAGAGTGTGGGGAGATGGTCAGCGTGTGACAAGGCTAGGAGAGTGTGGGGAGATGGTCAGCGTGTGTTAAGGCTAGGAGAGTGTGGGGAGATGGTCAGCGTGTGTGTTGGTCAGCGTGAAGGCTAGGAGAGTGTGGGGAGATGGTCAGCGTGTGTTAAGGCTAGGAGAGTGTGGGGAGATGGTCAGCGTGTGACAAGGCTAGGAGAGTCTGGGGAGATGGTCAGCGTGTGACAAGGCTAGGAGAGTGTGGGGAGATGGTCAGCGTGTGACAAGGCTAGGAGAGTGTGGGGAGATGGTCAGCGTGTGTTAAGGCTAGGAGAGTGTGGGGAGATGGTCAGCGTGTGACAAGGCTAGGAGAGTGTGGGGGAGATGGTCAGCGTGTGACGAGGCTAGGAGAGTGTGGGGAGAGATGGTCAGCGTGTGACAAGGCTAGGAGAGTGTGGGGAGATGGTCAGCGTGTGTTAAGGCTAGGAGAGTGTGGGGAGATGGTCAGCGTGTGACAAGGCTAGGAGAGTGTGGGGAGATGGTCAGCGTGTGACAAGGCTAGGAGAGTGTGGGGAGATGGTCAGCGTGTGACAAGGCAATAAACTTACATGATTTGTAGTATCTTTTGATCTCATTTTTGATCTGATTAAACTTCGGTTTAACATCTTTTCTGCAGGGTGTAAATATTCTTCTTTACAATTAGTCAGATAATGTTTAGAGGGTAGTTATTTCCCTCCTTTAAACCAAAGAATATATTTCTAGTGTTAATTCAATTTGTCATTTGCCCAATATGTCGAGCCATGAGGACAGTTCCGTCCACACTCCCTTTACAAAACTGCACTCAAACAGTAGGTGCCGTACAGACTTTACAAAATGTGCATAATGGTGATTCTTTAATTCCAATTTCATGTAAGTAAGTATTAGTTGTTAAAATATTCTGAGTATTCTTATGTTGGAAATATTTCAAATTTACACTCTGTGTACATCTATTGGGCATTAAGTTTATATTCTAACATTCATTTGGGGGAAATCGTCCTCCTCGTAATTCTTCCTATTTAAGTTGACCAGCTGTATTCACAAAGGTAAAGTCACCTAGTATTTGGCAATAATATTTACTTTTCTTTCCATTTGTCATCAAACCTATATTCAATGGTAAAATAGGATATACTTGTATATTTTGAAGCATCTTAGCAGGCATATTTTTCTTACTAAAGTAGTCAAGTCCTACATTCTTAATGCTGAGGTATTCAATGAAGTTCGTGTCAATATATTAACTGCTTTTCATATATTCAAGGGAGTTAATGGTACCATTTTGATTTATAATGTGACTCAGAAATATAATTCCCTTTTCCTCCCATTTCTTGAAACAACCCGGTTTTCCTTCTACTAAGATGTTATAATTGCATCATATTGATTGGCTTAATATATCCCTTCCCTCAGATGCCTGTTGGGGGCCAATAAACGCTGACCATGCCTTCAGTACATCTATCCAAAATTATTTGTGTTTTTAGGTGGTATATGTTTGATAATATATTCTTCATCAGCCGTCCATAGCCTTCACATGTTTGGAATGTATATTGAAGCATTATTTTTCCATATTGTATCCTTATTCAATAATCTTTCAATCCATATAAACTTTTGTGCTTTAATGGTATTTTTTCTAACTGGAACATTAATGCAATATAGAACAAGTTTTATGGATAACAACTTCTTTATTTCGTGAGTGCGACGTTTCGATACCGATTCTTGTACCGTTGTCAAGCAGGAGTGATACATGAAGTGGAGGAGCTGCATATATATACTGTATATAACAATGAAACAACATAATAGACAAAGGAAACAACATAATTGCCATGATTGGCTAAGCAGTAAGCTGATGAAGCCTGTGAGTTCACAAAGGATAGTGACTGGAAGCCAGAGATGTAGTTACAATGAGATGTTTATACAATAGATGCGATGTTTATACAATAGATTGGGCTTGGTGGAGGAGTGGATCATAAGCTGATGGAATGAAGTATCCTTGGTCACGGTTGATGGTGGGCTTGTGGCGTTTGATGTGAATGGCTTCTGTGAGCTTGCGTTTAGTGAAGTCCGTTTGGTTGTTGGCAAGAATGGTGATGTCGGACCACTATATTAGATGATTGGGGTTAGCTTTGATGTGGTCAGAGATAGCTGATTTGGTGTCGGAATTAGCAACAGAGGTGCGATGTTCTTTGACTCGGGTGTTGATGGGTAGGGATGTTTCACCTATGTAGCATTGTCCACAATCACAGTTTATTTTGTAAATAACACATTTCGGGTTGTTGTTGTTGACGGTGGGTTGTTTTCTTCCGTTGGCATGGAGGAGGTTGTTGAGGCTGGAGAGGGTTGTGTCTATGCCTACCTGTTGTTTTAGGAGTCGGCTGATTTGGTGTGATGGTTTACCAATGTAGGGGATGGATATCTTGATGGGGGCTGATTCTGGTTTAGATCTTTTGGCAGGAGGTGAAAGCGTTGCTTCGATGGTTCTGTTGACTATTTCAGGTGGGTAGTGGTTGCATTCTACAAAGACTTTCCTCAGGTGTTCAATTTCTTCCTGTAGGTTTGTTGAGCAGATGTTTTTGGCTCTTCTGGTCAATGTAGAGATGACGCCGGTCTTGACTTTAGGGCGTCATCTCTACATTGACCAGATCCACTCCTCCACCAAGCCCAATCTATTGTATAAACATCTCATTGTAACTACGTCTCAACTTCTAAAATGCCACTCAAACAAGTGGAACATCAATGCCTCCATATTTTAGAGTGGAAGTCACTACTGCTCATTTTACCTTGTCTCTTTTTCCTTGCCAGATAAAGTTAATAAGTTTCCTTGTGGTACGTCAATTGTGTCATCTGGCGGGGTGGGTATAGAAGAAAAAAAGATGATTTACTTTTGGTAAAAGTAATGATTTCAGAACAACATTCCTCCCCATAGGTGTAAGTGATCTGAAGGACCACATTATCATCTCCTTATCTATGTCTTCAACTTTTTCTGTATAATTGATATTTATCATTGAGTCATCAAGATCTGCATCAAAATTAATGCCCAAAAGTTTGAATTGCGATTGTGACCAATCAAGGGTTGTACTCTTTGCATTGTTTGTGTCTGGATCTATTTTTAGATCCTGTCCATATCAATCTGGTTTTTTCTGCGTTTACCTTGAGTCCTGAACATCTATCTAGCAGAGAATTTCAGTGTACTGAGTACTCCATACAGACTTTTTTCCGTCTCATCTAATGACACTGTAGTATCATCAGCAAATTGTGCGAGAAGACTTTCCAAGGGACCTATTTGAACACCTTTTATGTTCTTATTGGTTTGTAAATAATCGAGACTGTACAAGACAATCCAGTGATCAGCAGCAACAGCACCGACCTACGCAATTTGGATACGACCACATGTGTCAACCAAGTCAGCAAACCTTACCACCCGATTCCGTTTGGCGGTTGCTGAAGACCAATTCTAACCCGGAACTTCACGGGTCCACGTTTTAAACTGGTTCCAGGCCTATACACGCCCTAATTATGACTCTTGATCGCCATACCGGTTCACTTGTACTACGTGAAACCCTACACAGTCTACGGTGCTGTAGTCAGTGATACTGGCCCTACATGACCAGCAACAACCACAACTCTCCATCAACCAGCTATAGCAAATGCCGACCTTTGTCGAACTCCGAAGGCTTCAAATGCCGAGGCCCGCCGGTGATATAGAAACTCCTAGACCACCCGACGGAATGACGCCAGAATTTGGAAACATTCGGTAACTCACTGTGACGTACTGGGTCGTCCTTGCTATCTATTGCCCCATGATGACACTGACGACCCACTAGAAGGCTGTCTGTGTTTACAACATGGATACATCCTGGTGTCAAGCCCTACAACCACAGCTTATGCCTGTTGATATTCCCTATGACTGTTTTTATATCTTATTCCAGACTCCATACTTTTTGTGGTGACTTTCTACGTTTATGTGTCATAAATCGCATCAACACGTCAGAATATCCCAAAATTCTGAAAAAATGTCCTAGTTTAATTGCATTTTGACAGTAGAGCAAATGGCTATAAAGATGTCTGTGGTTGCGACGGGATTCGCAAATGGCCATGGCGATGATGAGGGCGGCTCATATTGTGTCTGTCCTGGTGGTTACTGTGCTATCAGAGACTCTGTCCACAGACGTGTACCCCTTGTCCACCCTTCCTCCCGCCCTGCACAGTCCCTTCCAGGACCCTCGAATCTGTCCGCAGATAACGGAGTATTGTTTCTCTTACGACAGAACCTCCATCATAGGTGAGTGTCCCAGAAACTGTATCGGCGTGTGGGCGCTCGCATGTGTCTCCGTGATGAGAAAATTTAAAGTATAAATATGTATAGGTATTATTACATATTATATTATGTATTTAGGAGTTCCCAGGAGACACCTATGTGTGTCAGCTGCATACACGTTCTCGTGACGTTCACTGCAGACTCTCCTCCTCCCGCAGTGGGTTGATGGGCAATGACACAACCGGAATAATGGTCAAATAGTAAACTCAACACTTTTACCGATATTGAGTAAAATGTGTTCTGTCCGGCTTTAGCAGCAATTATCATTTAAACGACATATTAAACAAATTGAGAAATCACCACCTTCAGGCTTGACAATGTTCACAATCAGTATCTAATACCGTTTATATGAGCCCACTACAGTACCAGTATTTGAAGAATCCGGGTCCAATGATTGAATAGTCCGATACTACAGTCGTCTGAGTGTAGCAACACTGGACTGATGCTACAGTTGTCTGAGTGTAGCAACACTGGACTGATGCTACAGTTGTCTGAGTGTAGCAACACTGGACTGATGCTATAGTTGTCTGAGTGCAGCAACACTGGACTGATACTACAGTTGTCTGAGTGTAGCAACACTGGACTGATGCTACAGTTGTCTGAGTGTAGCAACACTGGACTGATGCTACAGTTCTCTGAGTGCAGCAACACTGTACTGATGCTATAGTTGTCTGAGTGTAGCAGCACTGGACTGATGCTATAGTTGTCTGAGTGCAGCAACACTGGACTGATACTACAGTTGTCTGAGTGTAGCAGCACTGGACTGATGCTATAGTTGTCTGAGTGTAGCAACACTGGACTGATGCTATAGTTGTCTGAGTGTAGCAACACTAGACTGATGCTACAGTCGTCTGAGTGTAGCAACACTGGACTGATGCTACAGTTGTCTGAGTGTAGCAACACTGGACTGATGCTACAGTTGTCTGAGTGTAGCAACACTGGACTGATGCTACAGTTGTCTGAGTGTAGCAGCACTGGACTGATGCTACAGTTGTCTGAGTGTAGCAACACTGGATTGATGCTACAGTTGTCTGAGTGTAGCAACACTGGACTGATGCTACAGTTGTCTGAGTGTAGCAACACTGGACTAATGCTATAGTTGTCTGAGTGTAGCAGCACTGGACTGATGCTACAGTTGTCTGAGTGTAGCAGCACTGGACTGATGCTACAGTTGTCTGAGTGTAGCAACACTGGACTGATGCTATAGTTGTCTGAGTGCAGCAGCACTGGACTGATGCTATAGTTGTCTGAGTGCAGCAACACTGGACTGATACTACAGTTGTCTGAGTGCAGCAGCACTGGACTGATGCTATAGTTGTCTGAGTGCAGCAACACTGGACTGATACTACAGTTGTCTGAGTGTAGCAACACTGGACTGATGCTACAGTCGTCTGAGTGTAGCAACACTGGACTGATGCTATAGTTGTCTGAGTGTAGCAACACTGGACTGATGCTACAGTTGTCTGAGTGTAGCAACACTGGATTGATCCTACAGTTGTCTGAGTGTAGCAACACTGGACTGATGCTATAGTTGTCTGAGTGTAGCAACACTGGACTGATGCTACAGTTCTCTGAGTGTAGCAACACTGTACTGATGCTATAGTTGTCTGAGTGTAGCAGCACTGGACTGATGCTATAGTTGTCTGAGTGTAGCAACACTGGACTGATGCTACAGTTCTCTGAGTGTAGCAGCACTGTACTGATGCTATAGTTGTCTGAGTGTAGCAGCACTGGACTGATGCTATAGTTGTCTGAGTGTAGCAACACTGGACTGATACTACAGTTGTCTGAGTGTAGCAGCACTGGACTTGATGCTATAGTTGTCTGAGTGTAGCAACACTGGTCTGATGCTATAGTTGTCTGAGTGTAGCAACACTGGACTGATGCTACAGTCGTCTGAGTGTAGCAACACTGGACTGATGCTACAGTTGTCTGAGTGTAGCAACACTGGACTGATGCTACAGTTGTCTGAGTGTAGCAACACTGGACTGATGCTACAGTTGTCTGAGTGTAGCAGCACTGGACTGATGCTACAGTTGTCTGAGTGTAGCAACACTGGACTGATGCTACAGTTGTCTGAGTGTAGCAACACTGGACTGATGCTACAGTTGTCTGAGTGCAGTAACACTGGACTAATGTTACAGTTGTCTGAGCGTAGCAGCACTGGACTTATGCTATAGTTGTCTGAGTGTAGCAACACTGGACTAATGCCACAGTTGTCTGAGTGTAGCAACACTGGACTGATGCTATAGTTGTCTGAGTGCAGCAACACTGGACTGATGCTATAGTTGTCTGAGTGTAGCAACACTGGACTGATGCTACAGTTCTCTGAGTGTAGCAACACTGTACTGATGCTATAGTTGTCTGAGTGTAGCAGCACTGGACTGATGCTATAGTTGTCTGAGTGTAGCAACACTGGACTGATGCTACAGTTGTCTGAGTGTAGCAACACTGTACTGATGCTACAGTTGTCTGAGTGTAGCAGCACTGGACTGATGCTATAGTTGTCTGAGTGTAGCAACACTGGACTGATACTACAGTTGTCTGAGTGTAGCAGCACTGGACTGATGCTATAGTTGTCTGAGTGTAGCAACACTGGTCTGATGCTATAGTTGTCTGAGTGTAGCAACACTGGACTGATACTACAGTTGTCTGAGTGTAGCAACACTGGACTAATGCTACAGTTGTCTGAGTGTAGCAACACTGGACTGATGCTACAGTTGTCTGAGTGTAGCAGCACTGGACTGATGCTACAGTTGTCTGAGTGTAGCAGCACTGGACTGATGCTACAGTTGTCTGAGTGTAGCAACACTGGACTGATGCTACAGTTGTCTGGAGTGCAGTAACACACGGACTAGTGTTACAGTTGTCAGCAGCACTGACTGATGCTATAGTTGTCTGAGTGTAGCAACACTGGACTAATGCTACAGTTGTCTGAGTGTAGCAACACTGGACTAATGCTACAGTTGTCTGAGTGTAGCAACACTGGACTGATGCTACAGTTGTCTGAGTGTAGCAACACTGGACTGATGCTACAGTTGTCTGAGTGTAGCAACACTGGACTGATGCTATAGTTGTCTGAGTGTAGCAACACTGGATTGATCCTACAGTTGTCTGAGTGTAGCAACACTGGACTGATGCTATAGTTGTCTGAGTGCAGCAACACTGGACTGATACTGCAGTTGTCTGAGTGTAGCAACACTGTACTGATGCTACAGTTGTCTGAGTGTAGCAACACTGGACTGATGCTACAGTTGTCTGAGTGTAGCAACACTGTACTGATGCTATAGTTGTCTGAGTGTAGCAGCACTGGACTGATGCTACAGTTGTCTGAGTGTAGCAACACTGGACTGATGCTACAGTTGTCTGAGTGTAGCAACACTGGACTGATGCTACAGTTGTCTGAGTGTAGCAACACTGGACTGATGCTACAGTTGTCTGAGTGTAGCAACACTGGACTGATGCTACAGTTGTCTGAGTGTAGCAACACTGGACTGATGCTACAGTTGTCTGAGTGTAGCAACACTGGACTGATGCTACAGTTGTCTGAGTGTAGAAACACTGGACTAATGCTACAGTTGTCTGAGTGTAGCAGCACTGGACTGATGCTATAGTTGTCTGAGTGTAGCAGCACTGGACTGATGCTACAGTTGTCTGAGTGTAGCAACACTGGACTGATGCTATAGTTGTCTGAGTGTAGCAGCACTGGACTGATGCTATAGTTGTCTGAGTGCAGCAGCACTGGACTGATACTACAGTTGTCTGAGTGTAGCAACACTGGACTGATGCTACAGTCGTCTGAGTGTAGCAACACTGGACTGATGCTATAGTCGTCTGAGTGTAGCAACACTGGACTGATGCTACAGTTGTCTGAGTGTAGCAATACTGGACTGATACTACAGTTGTCTGAGTGTAGCAGCACTGGACTGATGCTATAGTTGTCTGAGTGTAGCAAACACTGACTGATGCTATAGTTGTCTGGAGTGTAGCAACACTGGACTGATGCTACAGTCGTCTGAGTGTAGCAACACTGACTGATGCTACAGTTGTCTGGAGTGTAGCAACACTGGACTGATGCTACAGTTATTGTCTGGAGTGTAGCAACACTGGACTGATGCTACAGTTGTCTGAGTGTAGCAGCACTGGACTGATGCTACAGTTGTTCGAGTGTAGCAACACTGGATTGATGCTACAGTTGTCTGGAGTGTAGCAACACTGGACTGATGCTACAGTTGTCTGAGTGTAGCAACACTGACCAATGCTATAGTTGTTCGAGTGTAGCAACACTGACTGATGCTACAGTTGTCTCGAGTGTAGCAGCACTGGACCGATGCTACAGTTGTCTGAGTGTAGCAACACTGACTGATGCTATAGTTGTCTGAGTGCAGCAGCACTGGACTGATGCTATAGTTGTCTGAGTGCAGCAACACTGGACTGATACTACAGTTGTCTGAGTGCAGCAGCACTGGACTGATGCTATAGTTGTCTGAGTGCAGCAACACTGGACTGATGCTATAGTTGTCTGAGAGTGTAGCAACACTGGACTGATGCTACAGTCGTCTGAGTGTAGCAACACCGGACTGATGCTAGTCGTCTGAGTGTAGCAACACTGGACTGATGCTACAGTTGTCTGAGTGTAGCAACACTGGATTGATCCTACAGTTGTCTGAGTGCAGCAACACTGGACTGATGCTATAGTTGTCTGGTGTAGCAACACTGGACTGATGCTACAGTTCTCTGAGTGTAGCAACACTGTACTGATGCTATAGTTGTCTGAGTGCAGCAACACTGGACCGATACCACAGTTGTCTGAGTGTGTAGCAACACTGGACTGATGCTACAGTCGTCTGAGTGTAGCAACACTGGACTGATGCTATAGTCGTCTGAGTGTAGCAACACTGGACCGATGCTACAGTTGTCTGAGTGTAGCAACACTGGATTGATCCTACAGTTGTCTGGAGTGT